TGACACATGACCGCCACATGGCACATGGCCACCACATGGCCACAACATAGCACATGGCCACTACATGACCACCACATCACCGCCACATGACACATGGCCACCACATTGCAAATCATCCACCGCCTTGTCCCTCACTGCGTGCACGACAGTCGGGTGTATTCTCAGCCGCCGTGGAACACAATGTTGTTCTTTAAAGGTTCTGCAATGATTTGTATTGTTAGTCTCCATTATCGCGAAACCGTTTATAAATAGAATACACCAAACACGTAGTTGTTCTCATTCTACTAACTATACAACCATACCTTCCTAGATGGCGCTACAGTTCCGCTTATAGATGTACGTACAACTACATCAAGTTAATTATACTTATCAACGACGGCAATTACAGTTATCGGCCAGGGAAATAGTATCTCTGCAATCCCTAAACACAAGGCCATGACGGATCAAAGTTCACATGAATCGGGGATGCAGTTCCCACACATCCATACACCCATAAAAGTACAATAAATACCACCTTGCTTTGGATGCCATGTAAATCATAGGCACTTCCTGTTCGGGGTCAGTCGCCCTTTGCACGAGTAGCGGTCAGTCAGTCATTCCCGTATACATATCTGATGCGAGTTATCAAGACAACCTAATCACGAGATAGACATTCTGCTCCTCCACCGAACACTTCATTAATTCCCTGCTGGCCTTTTCATGATAACTTTAATTTCATCAAGCAATTTCATTACCCCGTGTCCAGCAAACGAACCAGTCCAGTCAGACGCCCGATCTACCTTTGTCTGTGTGACCAGTAGTAACTGGTCAGTCAGTCATAGCAATTACCTCCTATCTATTACTCAATGGCTAACTACGAGATCGATATGGACTTAGTCAATTCCGGGATTGGTCACAATGATAAAGATTAATCCTATGGATTTCAGTAGTAACGCTTGATCTCTGATGTATGAGACTGGTGACCGAGATGCTTGAAGGAGACTTATACACACAACAAACCGGTTGGAGCAAAGTGAGAACTTTCTTTGCGGTACAAAGTGCAAGAGACTGCTAAGTACAGGAAATAATATTAAGCATTATGCATGATAATTATGATGAGAAATGTTTACAAAAAAGGCAAATCGTGTTTGCAGTGTCAGAACTGATCAAATTCACTTAACTCGAGGCAATGCATCAGCAATAGCATTGCCTTTGCCTTTGATATACTTGACATCTAAACCAAATTCTTGCAAAGGCAATCTCTAGCATTAGGCGTTGTTTATTATTGTTTTACATTCTATGAAGTAAAGTCAGTGGATTGTGATCAGCAGACACTTGAATAGGAAAAAAGTCGTACCCAAGTACATTTCAAATTCTTGCAAAGCTAACAATAGAGTAATAGTTTCTTTTTCAATGATGGGATACTTTCTCTGATGTTGGTCAAATTTCGCGAATGATCAACGTCTGACGCGTCTACCTGCAACCGTACGGCTCCACCACCATTGTCACCAGCAGCTGCTGCCAATTTCAAAGACTTTTCAAATTTGGTGCTTGGCGAACAGGAGAATTCATTAGAATGGCTTTAAAATAGCAAACTGGTGTCTGGATGTATATAGGATATACATACATGTAGCAGACTGGTGTCTCGATGTATAGAGGATATACATACATGTAGAAAACTGGTGGCTGGATGTATAGAGGAAATACATACATGTAGCAGACTGGTGTCTGGATGTATAGAGGCGATACATACATGTAGCAGACTGGTGTATTGACATATAGAGGAGATACATACTTATAGCAGACTGGTGTTTGGATGTATAGAGGATATATATACATGTAGCAGACTGGTGTCTGGATGTATATAGGAGATACATACATGTAGCAGACTGGTGTCTGGATGTATAGAGGATATACATACATGTAGCAGACTGGTGTCTGGATGTATAGAGGATATACATTCATGTAGAAAACTGGTGGCTGGATGTGTAGAGGCGATACATACATGTAGCAGACTGGTGTATTGACATATGGAGGAGATACATACATGTAGCAGAGTGGTGCCTGGATGTATAGAGGAGATACATACATATAGCAGACTGGTGTCTGGATATATAGAGGAAATATATACATGTAGCAAACTGGTGTCTGGATGTATAGAGGAGATACATACATGTAGCAGACTGATGTCTGCATGTATAGAGGAGATACATACATATAGCAGACTGGTGTCTGGATGTATAGAGGAGATACATACATGTAGCAGACTGATGTCTGGATGTATAGAGGAGATACATACATGTAGCAGACTGGTGTCTTGGTGTATAGAGGAGATACATACATGAAGCAGACTGGTGTCTGGATGTATAGAGGAGATACATACATGTAGCAGACTGGTGTCTGGATGTATAGAGGCGATACATACATGTAGAAAACTGGTGTCTGGATGTATAGAGGAGATACATACATGTAGCAGACTGATGTCTGCATGTATAGAGGAGATACATACATATAGCAGACTGGTGTCTGGATGTATAGAGGAGATACATACATGTAGCAGACTGATGTCTGCATGTATAGAGGAGATACATACATATAGCAGACTGGTGTCTGGATGTATAGAGGAGATACATACATGTAGCAGACTGATGTCTGGATGTATAGAGGAGATACATACATATAGCAGAGTGGTGTCTTGGTGTATAGAGGAGATCCATACATGTAGCAGACTGGTGTCTGGGTGTATAGAAGAGATACATACATGTAGCAGACTGGTGTATTGATATATAGAGGATATACATACATGTAGCAGACTGGTGTCTGGATGTATAGAGGAGATACATTCATGTAGCAGACTGGTGTCTGGGTGTATAGAGGAGATACATACATGTAGAAGACTGGTGTCTGGATGTATAGAGGAGATACATACATGTAGCAGACTGATGTCTGGATGTATAGAGGAGATACATACATGTAGCAGACTGGTGTCTGGGTGTATAGAGGAGATACATACATGTAGCAGACTGGTGTCTGGATGTATAGAGGAGATACATTCATGTAGCAGACTGGTGTATTGATATATAGAGGAAATACATACATGTAGCAGACTGGTGTCTGGATGTATAGAGGAGATACATACATATAACAGACTGGTGTCTGGATGTATAGAGGAGATACATTCATGTAGCAGACTGGTGTCTGGATGTATAGAAGAGATACATACATGTAGCAGACTGGTGTCTGGATGTATAGAGGAGATACATACATGTAGTAGACTGGTGTCTGGATGTATACAGGCGATACATACTTATAGCAGACTGGTGTCTGGATGTATAGAGGCGATACATACATGAAGCAGACTGGTGTCTGGGTGTATAGAGGAGATACATACATGAAGCAGTCTGGTGTCTGGGTGTAAAGAGGAGATACATACATGTAGCAGACTGGTGTCTTGATATATAGAGGAAATACATACATGTAGCAGACTGGTGTCTGGATGTATAGAGGAGATACATACATGTAGCAGACTGGTGTCTGGGTGTATAGAGGAGATACATACATGTAGAAGACTGGTGTCTGGATGTATAGAGGAGATACATACATGTAGCAGACTGGTGTCTGGGTGTATAGAGGCGATACATACTTATAGCAGACTGGTGTCTGGATGTATAGAGGAGATACATACATGTAGCAGACTGATGTCTGGATGTATAGAGGAAATACATACTTATAGGAGACTGGTGTCTGGGTGTATAGTGGAGATACATTCATGTAGCAGACTGATGTCTTGATATATAGAGGAAATACATATATGTAGCAGACTGGTGTCTGGATGTATAGTGGAGATACATACATGTAGCAGACTTGTTTCATGTGCCGCAGTCATCTTTGACAGGATAGTGACGCCTTCGTCTACGACTCTTTAGCTACGCCGTCATCTACGAATGGTTAGCTACGCCTTCGTCTACGACTGGCTAGTTACGCCTTCGTCTACGACTGGCTAGTTACGCCTTCATCTACGCCTGGTTAGTCACACCTTCATCTACGACTCTTTAGCTACGCCGCTATCTACGAGTGGCTAGCAACGCCTTCATCTGCGACTGGTTAGTAATAACAAAATACGCTTCAAGGCTTATAGTTTCAGGAACTAGTCAAATAGACACTTGCACTCAAAGAATTGCATAGTTTATTTGAAAATGATATATACATAAATGTTTTCGAAACGTACAAAAATCAACATCGCATGAAATGTAGACAGTCGCCATGTTTGGATGGAAGGTGGGTACCATAGCGAGGGAAGTAATATTTCCATTAATGTACACACACTGAACTTAATCCCTATATAACAGTGGACTGTCTCTACACAATCCGTACACAAAATGTACAATCCGTACAAAAACTGTTTACAATCCGTCCACAAAATGTACAATCCGTACAAAAACTGTACAATCCGTACACAAACTGTTTACAATCTGTACATAAACTGTTTACAATCCGTACATAAACTGTTTACAATCCGTACACAAACTGTTTACAATCCGTATACAAACTGTACAATCCGTACATAAACTGTTTACAATCCGTACATAAACTGTACAATCCGTACACAAACTGTACAATCCGTACATAAACTGTTTACAATCCGTACACAAACTGTACAATCCGTACATAAACTGCTTACAATCCGTACACAAACTGTTTACAATCCGTACATAAACTGTTTACAATCCGTACATAAACTGTTTACAATCCGTACATAAACTGTTTACAATCCGTACACAAACTGTACAATCCGTACATAAACTGTTTACAATCCGTACAAAAACTGTACAATCCGTACACAAACTGTTTACAATCCGTACATAAACTGTTTACAATCCTTACAATCCGTACATAAACTGTTTACAATCCGTACATAAACTGTTTACAATCCGTACACAAACTGTACAATCCGTACATAAACTGTTTACAATCCGTACAAAAACTGTACAATCCGTACACAAACTGTTTACAATCCGTACATAAACTGTTTACAATCCGTACATAAACTGTTTACAATCCGTACATAAACTGTTTACAATCCGTACATAAACTGTTTACAATCCGTACACAAACTGTTTACAATCCGTACACAAAATGTTTACAATCCGTACATAAACTGTTTACAATCCGTACATAAACTGTTTATAATCCGTACATAAACTGTTTACAATCCGTACACAAACTGTACAATCCGTACATAAACTGTTTACAATCCGTACAAAAACTGTACAATCCGTACACAAACTGTTTACAATCCGTACATAAACTGTTTACAATCCGTACATAAACTGTTTACAATCCGTACATAAACTGTTTACAATCCGTACATAAACTGTTTACAATCCGTACACAAAATGTTTACAATCCGTACATAAACTGTTTACAATCCGTACATAAACTGTTTACAATCCGTACATAAACTGTTTACAATCCGTACACAAAATGTACACAATCTGTTTACAATGTCCACATGGACTGTTCACAAACGGTAGAGACTGTTGCAAGCAATACGTATTGTTATTACAGCCGTGTCCCTCGCTGCAGTAGAGGATCTGTCCAATGTAGTCACACACGTCATGTCTCCTTCACAGACAGGCATCCGGACAGAATGCAGCATCTTATCACATACAACGAATACTGTTTTGACCTGTTGATACGTTCAGCGTCAGCATAACAAACATATTCACTGACCTATCAACAGGATAAACCGACGTGGTCGTCAACGGAAATATATTATACATTCTTATCTAAAACAAAATACAAAATGTGTCACTGACTCTATTGCTTTATTGCGTATATGGAAACAGCGTGACATTACCACGCGCATGTAGTGCTGTGACGTAGTAGTCCAAAGCTCGTGAGCATCCCAACCCTCCCCCACCCCCGAACCCCATCCCCACCCCCAGAAAAGCAATCTCAACACCTTTGTGAGGATACCGTCTGGCGTTGAACTGAGAAAAGAACAGAGAACCGTTCTTGTTTTAGGTCACGCGTAATGCTGTTTAAATAGAAGCCATTATCGATAGATTGGCACAAACTGCTCACCTACAGACGAAGGTTTACCAAGTACAGTCAGGAGAGATGACGTTCTACATTGACGGTACAGTTATCTATTTGGCACTGTGTGACGTCCGTCGTACATGCATCAATATTCATATGTAAACATGATTATAGTCAGAGAATATGTAACGTATCTACGAACCACCATGACAATCAAAGAGTACGCTATCCCGCATGTATATGGCAACCATATGTACATATGTATAATCAATGGAAGAAAAAACTTTGAAAACATTTCCAGAAAACTAAGCTCCACCCGTCAGCACATATCGGGTAGGATCCAGTACTTTCCCAGCAGCTGGTGACAAAGTGACGTCAGCGGTACAGTAAAGGCTGGACGGTGGTGGTCAGGAGATATGTTTCTTTCACGATGCTTGGCTAATGATGCACGTGACATTGTGACAATGACCTCAAGCTGAAACGAAAATAAAAATGTTAAAGAAATTGATTCCTTAGCTCCAACATTTGTGTTCCTGGCTTCAACAAATTAACGACAGAGAGAGTGGCTGTTAATCACGGGACGGACCATCCACTGAGAAGGTCAGTCCTACTACTAGATGCCAGAGAAACACTACGGCAACAATACTACTGATCACCATCAGCCAGGATGCGAAGTTCCGAGGTCTTACATTGCCGATACCCGACTGTCGAGGTCTCACTGTCTCGACCATAACCGAGGAAAAGTGCTTTATCTCACTTATAAACCGTCTAAATGCGAGAAATACCAGAAAATATAAGAAAACATCGATATATCTTTTAGTGAAATAATACAGGGTGTCGCGGTATAAAAGGAATGCGATCAAAGCGTGCGAGAGAAAGAACACGTGCAGCACTGACAAAGCTAAGTCATGATATCTAAAATTGAACATTCTCTCATCATCTGCCCCAGCAGCTCAGTGGGAAAACAGCGGGGTATAAAACTTAACATTATATGTGAGGTTGAAGGCTCTATAATCGTCACCCATTATGAAAAACTTTCATTTAATGTCTTCGAGATTAGAAAAATGGACGTTTTAAACACGAAGTCCAAATTATATCTGCTACTCAAATCATCAGGTCTTACAAGCAAAACGTGAAACACAAACAAACTCATACCAGGTCTTACTGGTAAAAAGTAAAACCTCATACCCGGAATGAGGTTCTATTAGGAATATATAAAACCTCCCGTGAGTTTTTTCCGGATAGAAACATAGGACCTGCAATACAACAGACAAAGATAGCAGTAGGTTTATAAGGCCCAGCCACGGTATCCTGTTGCGTTCAGACACCAAGATTAAAAAAAACAAGCCCGGGTCAATTTTGTTTGATGAGCGCTGAGACCCTCCACACAATGCGATTTACATTGTCAGTGCGTCTGCGTACTGTGTTGAAGAAAGCCCTTAAACAACATACAGTTCCTCGGGGACTGACATACACTTCTTAACATTCCGACAACTGGTCTTCTATTGCATTAATACAGCTAAACACAGCATTTATAGGTGTAAACGGATTGCACTGTTGTCATGTGAAGCCGCATCTGTCAACGTGAAGCTACGCACAATCTGGAGATTGTACGGGCGCTTTGTGTGTATCGTCTGGGCCTCTCTAAAGTACATCAGTGAAAAGATCAAAGGGCTGTGTGAAATACCATTTCCATCGCTGACCTATTTAAGGGCTGTGAAAAGTTGGGTCTAGTTTGTTGTAATGGTCAGCTTCCTCTGTGTTTCTACAGCCAGATAACGAATGGTAAAGGGGACATTAAAAAACGGTTCTGTTTAAACATCGCCATGACCATGAAAAAAGTTGTTGGTTTTTTTAACTTATTTTATATTTAACCCAGCGTCCCTCCTACATTCCCTGACTGAGTGACCTCATTGCTTAGTCTTGTCACACCCAACAGTGATAGGTGACTCTACAACACTCCTACCCTGGTCGGCTCCGGATCACAGCAGTGCCGTGCAGTCTCTCAGGACGGCGCTGCCGGTGGCAGCTTCATTTCCACTGGACGATGACTGTCGTACGATGCCGGACTTGTTAACGCTGGCGTAAAGGCCTTCGGGGACGTCGATATCGGTGACGCTGTCCTCCAGTGTCGTCTCGATCCGATATTCAGGCTCCGGAGCTTCAGGTCCTAACTGCATCACCGCATCCTGCCCACAACAGAGGGAGATCCATCACTACAATCTGTGCATTGTACTAAATTTAAATTCAATTTTTAAACCGACACTTGTAGGTCAATGACCCTTGCATCATGACAGACCTCTCTGCACGTACACACCTCAACAGTCAGCCATCTGTTTTGTTTGTTTGTTGTTTAACGCCGCACTCAGCAATATTCCAGCTATATGACGGCGGTCTGTACATAATCGAATCTGGACAAGACAATCCAGTGCTTGATATCATGAGCATCGATCCACGCAATTGGGATACGATGACATGCATCAGCCAGGTCAGCGAGCCTGACCACACGATCCTTTTAGTTGCCTCATGTCTTCATGGAACTCAACGTTGACTTTATAAGAGTTGGTTCCATGTATTCACAACGAAGGAAAAGGGAAGTAGTTTGTTATGACTGCAGACAGTCAGATAACTTATGTCCCCCGCCGCCGTTTCTGCAACAACTGAGAGGCGATTGATTCCATCAATTGTCGGTTCAGTAAGTAGAGGAATTCTTGTCTGTGACCTTTTATAGAAAGAACGGAAGCATTTTAGGGCCATTAGTTTCTTTTTCTTTTTTCTTCTTGAATTTTCAAGATATCAAGTTGAAATTTCAAAATGTTATGTTGGTGTCATTATCTTGAAATTTCAACTAAGTGTTTTGAAATTTAAACATATTTAACTTTCAAGTTAGTATCTTGCAATTTCAAGAAACAATTAAAAAAACAAATGGCCCTCAAAGGTTTCCGTAAGGAAGAGGAATGTGTAGATTTTGAGAACACCTCTATAACTCGGCATTCAGTGTTCGTAAACTTATCAGAATTACCTCCCTTGAGTTAGCCTCCGCTCAATTCCGCGAAAGTAAAGTAGTAGGGATGTGGACGTCATCAAGTGGACGCGGGTATAGGGGGGGGGAATACAGGCTACATGTGCACAAGGATGACGGTGAGCTATAACAACAGGTCACGTGGATGAGTGTGAGCTATAACAGCAGGTCACGTGGGCGAGGGTTTTGTATAACAAGCTACATGTGCACGTGGATGAGGGTGAGATATGACAAGCTACATGTCCACGTGGATGAGGGTGAGGTATGACAAGCTACATGTGCATGTGGATGAGGGTTAGGTATGACAAGCTACATGTGCACGTGGATGAGGGTGAGCTATAACAACAGGTCACGTGGATGAGTGTGAGCTATAACAAGCAACATGTGCACGTGGATGAGGGTGAGTTATGACAAGCTACATGTGCACGTGGATGAGGGTAAGGTATGACAAGCTACATGTGCACGTGGATGAGGGTGAGTTATGACAAGCTACATGTGCACGTGGATGAGGGTAAGGTATGACAAGCTACATGTGCACGTGGATGAGGGTGAGTTATGACAAGCTACATGTGCACGTGGATGAGGGTGAGGTATGACATGCTACATGTGCACGTGGATGAGGGTAAGGTATGACAAGCTACATGTGCACGTGGATGAGGGTGAGGTATGACATGCTACATGTGCACGTGGATGAGGGTGAGTTATGACAAGCTACATGTGCATGTGGATGAGGGTGAGGTATGACAAGCTACATGTGCACGTGGATGAGGGTTAGGTATGACAAGCTACATGTGCACGTGGATGAGGGTTAGGTATGACAAGCTACATGTGCACGTGGATGAGGGTGAGGTATGACAAGCTGCATGTGCACGTGGATGAGGGTGAGGTATGACAAGCTACATGTCCACGTGGATTAGGGTTAGGTATGACAACAGGTGCACGTGGATAAGGGTTAGGTATGACACGCCACATGTGCATGTGGATGAGTGTGAGCTATAACAACAGGTCACGTGGATGAGAGTGAGCTATAACAACAGGTCACGTGGATGAGTGTGAGCTATAACAAGCTACATGTGCACGTGGATGAGAGAGAGGTATGACAACAGGTGCACGTGGATGAGGGGTAGGTATGACAAGCTACATGTGCACGTGGATGAGGGTGAGGTATGACAAGCTACATGTGCATGTGGATGAGGGTGAGTTATGACAAGCTGCATGTGCACGTGGATGAGGGTGAGTTATGACAACAGGTGCACGTGGATGAGGGTGAGGTATGACAAGCTACATGTTCACGTGGATGAGGGTGAGGTATGACAAGCTACATGTGCATGTGGATGAGGGTGAGTTATGACAAGCTCCATGTGCACGCCGATGAGGGTGAGTTATTACAAGCTACATGTGCACGTCGATGAGGGTGAGACACATCAGTGACGCGTCTGATTTCTTACCCTCTCTTCTACGTGATCATCACTCCTGTAAAACAAAAGACCATGGTTATATCGTTGCACGATTCCTCTGTCCCTAAAAGAGGCGTCAGCGTCACACATTAGAGAAGGTCGCTTTACATAGATGTTCCATACAATTAATTATAGATTTAATGACCTTACATCTATACCTTTGTGCTGCTTATAAATTTGTTTGTGTTTCGTACAAGAAACAAAAGCCCTTTTTGAAAACAAACCAGCCCATACCCTCCCTTGGGTCTATAGGTCACGCATGCGCGTTATGTTCCCCCTGCTGATTATTTGCCAGTCTTTCAGTGGATTATGTTTGTATCCGTGCGAGTAGAAGCGTACGGCAAATCACTATCTGTCAGCTCAGCTAACACTCCGTGCAGTGGTTTGGCCTGACAGTAAATGAACGTGCAAGGCGTATCAATACGTACCATCTTTGAATCCAGGAACCTGAAAGTGAAACACACAATGATTACGTCACATTTGAATCAGGTAGCTCAGATAGTATACATCAACACAGAAACATTTATTTACAAGATATTGAAAACAAATGAGGAACACACGTGTCAGTATATCCACCTGTTAATGATGCAGAATACCATTAACACAAATAAGATGCAGCTCACACAGGTTAATGGTTGTAGTTGGCATGCACACAAAATAACAAAATATTTAAGATTATGCAGACAATATTCCTTAAATGTCGTCGACGATTAATTTAAGGACAAATATATTGACAAATATACAATGTACAACCAAATAAATACAAGTTACAAGCTCACATGTGAGCAAAATGGCTATACAAAATCTATCTCTTTATATGTATCATGCCATGTTATTAAGAAATGAGTCCTTGTAACATTTTAACGGCTTCCACATTATCATGTATTCTGTACTATCGGCCTGTGGCCTTACAGTTATATGTGACAAAAATTGACATATATCCGCCTGGGACACGGTGAGGAACACACGGATCAATATACCAGCCAGGTACATGGGGAGGAACACACGGGTCAATATGTCAGCAAGGTACACGGGGAGGAACACACGGATCAATATATCAGCAAGGTACATGGGGAGGAACACACGGGTCAATATGTCAGGCAGGTACATGGGGAGGAACACACGGGTCAATATGTCAGCAAGGTACACGGGGAGGAATACACGGGTCAATATACCAGCAAGGTACACGAGGTGGAACACACGGGTCAATATGTCAGCTAGGTACACGGGGAGGAACACACGGGTCAATATGTCATCAAGATGCACGGGGAGGAACACACGGGTCAATATGTCAGCAAGGTACATGGGGAGGAACACACGGGTCAATATGTCAGCAAGATGCACGGGGAGGAAAACACGGGTCAATATGTCAGCAAGGTACACGGGGAGGAACACACGGGTCAATATGTCAGCAAGGTACACGGGGAAGAACACACGGGTCAATATTTCAGCAAGATGCACGGGGAGGAACACACGGGTCAATATGTCAGCAAGATGCACGGGGAGGAACACACGGGTCAATATGTCAGCAAGGTACATGGGGAGGAACACACGGGTCAATATGTCATTAAGATGCACGGGGAGGAAAACATGGGTCAATATGTCAGCAAGATACACGGGGAGGAACACACGGGTCAATATGTCAGCAAGGTACATGGGGAGGAACACACGGGTCAATATGTCATTAAGATGCACGGGGAGGAACACACGGGTCAATATGTCATTAAGATGCACGGGGAAGAACACACGGGTCAATATGTCAGCAAGATGCACGGGGAGGAACACACGGGTCAATATGTCATCAAGATGCACGGGGAAGAACACACGGGTCAATATGTCAGCAAGGTACACGGGGAGGAACACACGGGTCAATATGTCAGCAAGATGCACGGGGAGGAACACACGGGTCAATATGTCAGCTAGGTACACGGGGAGGAACACACGGGTCAATATGTCAGCAAGATGCACGGGGAAGAACACACGGGTCAATATGTCATCAAGATGCACGGGGAAGAACACACGGGTCAATATGTCATCAAGATGCACGGGGAGGAACACACGGGTCAATATGTCAGCAAGATGCACGGGGAGGAACACACGGGTCAATATGTCATCAAGATGCACGGGGAAGAACACACGGGTCAATATGTCAGCAAGGTACACGGGGAGGAACACACGGGTCAATATGTCAGCAAGATGCACGGGGAGGAACACACGGGTCAATATGTCAGCAAGGTACACGGGGAGGAACACACGGGTCAATATGTCAGCAAGATGCACGGGGAAGAACACACGGGTCAATATGTCAGCAAGGTACACGGGGAGGAACACACGGGTCAATATGTCAGCAAGGTACACGGGGAGGAACACACGGGTCAATATGTCAGCAAGGTACATGGGGAGGAACACACGGGTCAATATGTCAGCAAGATGCACGGGGAGGAAAACATGGGTCAATATGTCAGCAAGGTACACGGGGAGGAACACACGGGTCAATATGTCAGCAAGATGCACGGGGAAGAACACACGGGTCAATATGTCAGCAAGGTACACGGGGAGGAACACACGGGTCAATATGTCAGCAAGGTACACGGGGAGGAATACACGGGTCAATATACCAGCAAGGTACACGAGGTGGAACACACGGGTCAATATGTCAGCAAGGTACACGGGGAGGAACACACGGGTCAATATGTCAGCAAGGTTCATGGGGAGGAACACACGGGTCAATATGTCAGCAAGATGAACGGGGAGGAAAACATGGGTCAATATGTCAGCAAGGTACATGGGGAGGAACACACGGGTCAATATGTCAGCAAGGTACACGGGGAGGAACACACGGGTCAATATGTCAGCAAGATACACGGGGAGGAACACACGGGTCAATATGTCAGCAAGATGCACGGGGAGGAACACACGGGTCAATATGTCAGCAAGGTACATGGGGAGGAACACACGGGTCAATATGTCAGCAAGATACACGGGGAGGAAAACATGGGTCAATATGTCAGCAAGGTACACGGGGAGGAACACACGGGTCAATATGTCAGCAAGATGCACGGGGAAGAACACACGGGTCAATATGTCAGCAAGGTACACGGGGAGGAACACACGGGTCAATATGTCAGCCAGGTACATGGGGAGGAACACACGGGTCAATATGTCAGCAAGATACACGGGGAGGAACACACGGGTCAATATGTCAGCAAGGTACACGGGGAGGAACACACGGGTCAATATGTCAGCCAGGTACATGGGGAGGAACACACGGGTCAATATGTCAGCCAGGTACATGGGGAGGAACACACGGGTCAATATGTCAGCTAGGTACACGGGGAGGAACACACGGGTCAATATGTCAGCAAGATACACGGGGAGGAACACACGGGTCAATATGTCAGCAAGATGCACGGGGAGGAACACACGGATCAATATGTCAGCTAGGTACACGGGAAGGAACACACGGGTCAATATGTCAGCAAGATAGACGGGGAGGAACACACGGGTCAATATGTCAGCAAGATGCACGGGGAGGAACACACGGATCAATATGTCAGCTAGGTACACGGGAAGGAACACACGGATCAATATGTCAGCAAGATACACGGGAAGGAAAACATGGGTCAATATGTCAGCCAGGTACACGGGGAGGAACACCAACCTCTGTCTGTGATGATCTGGGGACTCAGGTATTGCTCGGACGAATGGCGGCTCAATTTCTTCATCACTTCGATTCTCTTCAGTTCATGCTTTGGTATTTTTTCATATCCAAAGGATTTGTAAATTGCGCCACTGCCAAAAAGAAAGAGTATTTTACAGGCAACCTGAATGCGTAAACATATGATATCCTACATGTACATCTTCTGTATTGAATCTTCTTTCACGCGATTTTGGTATTCAAAGTAAAGTTGAGACACAGGATAGTAGTGATGACTGGATGTGTATCCTGGCAGGTACCATTGAGTGGGGGCGAACTAAAAAAATCACAGATACTATTGGCCAGCATTTGTTCTGTTTTCCACCACTAATATAGGTGTTTTCAAGGCACTGGGTCTTTTGACTGGGTCATGACGTGGTGAATTGTTGCTCATAATATAACCTACGTGTTTGTCTGTTTTAACAGGAATTGTTAAATATATGTAATATACACCTTTTTACTGCAATAAACAGGTGAAGCCATCAGGGTGTGTGTTCGTATGCATAGTGTAATCATGCCACATTCATTTACATGCTGTCTGGACCCGTGAACATCCGGGGTAGAATAGGTCTTCAGCAACCCATGCTTGTCGTAAAAGGCGACTATGCTTGTCGTAAGGGGTGACTAACGGGATCGGGTGGTCAGGCTTGCTGACTTGGTAGATGCATGTCATCGTAACCTAATTGCGTGGATCGATGCCCAATATATCGATCATTGAATTGTCTGGTCCAGACTCGATTATTTACCGAAGGCCGTCATATAGCAGGAATATTGCTTATTGTGGCGTCAAAAAACAAACAAACAAACAAATTGAACATACGCCCGGGATGCAATGTATGCCGCAGTGACTACCAGGGCTGCGGGACACTTACCAGTTGTAAAAGATGATTCCCATTACTATACAGATGATGAAGAGGAGGATGGCCACTGTGCAGCTGGCGATGAGGAAGTTGACATCACTGGTTTGCGCTGTGATTCCTGAAACAGATTCACATTGTTGAAGGGTTGTGTTTGTGCGTCCATCTGTTCAGTGACGGTGTACATGGTACGAGCGGCAGACACTGTCACACACGTTGTGTCGGTATTGGTGTATGCTCACATAGTAGGATTATACGTCAATCTGAAACTGTCCAACATCGCGTTTACACCAATGCCTACCATGGTGCGTCAGTCAAGAAGGATCATAGGTCACTGCACGTGAATACACAGATCTTGAGTGAAGTGATTACTGTCTACATGGTCATTGACAGGTTCCCAGATATCAGACAGGTGCATCTCTAGTACATATCCACAGACACATGACGAACGGCATGGATTTATACATGCGGGTTCAATTTGGGGATAAACCTACTGTGTTTGAAATTTGATGTAGTCCCACTGTAGAGTAGATACCTCTTATTCTAATTTGAAACCGAGCACTATTAGCGACCAAGGGTGCAATAGAGAAAATATCGATGTTTTACAGTTCCTATTGGTGATCGATCGGCAGCCATTTTTATGAATCGATATGTAGGCTATCGATGTATTCATGCACACGTTGTTTGTGTGAAAGGACTCACTATATTTAAAGGGGGTTTCCGTAGCTAAAAAGAATCCTCTTGTTAACTAATCAGAATCAGGCATTCTTCACTGTCATGGTAGAATTTTCTACGAACATATGGCACTATTATTTTAATTGTGTTCACTTCAAACTTACCATACGTAGTCAACTACGTATTTCAAGACATGATTAAACCTGTATCTATACATCCTCTTGTAGAAGGACATCCTCTGGTCATTCTGTCCCTTTAACAGCAACATTCACAGAGCCCATCACGTTACATTTTCGGTTCGTTTAACTGTGGAGTGGGTTAACTTAATAAAGGGGAGTCGAATATCAGTTTGTGATTAACAACGTTTTATTGCAGCAGTAGAGTGTGGGAAGAAGTGACGGGCCCTGAACCTAAACAAGATAACATGTGCCTCGCCCTCTCACAAAATATCTTATGTGTATACGTCTAAAATTAGATTTACCATTCAGCCAATACAGTGTTAACCATTCAGCCAATACATACAGTAGAAACCCCAACATAGTCCACCCGGGCGGACACGCCCTGCATCGTGGGCGTGTTGCCTGTGATTGAACCATGATCAAGTCCTATTACAACTTCTGAGATCTCTGTTGTGCCACGTATTGTGTAGCATAACGGTGTATTACAGACAGGTGTGCTCAATAGCGTGTGTCTGCCGGCTGTCAGGGTGGCTGTATAGTGGAACATGGTGAGGGGATACAAAAACAACATTTCATTTGTGTAGTTGTGTGTTCCCACTGAGCTCAGTACTGAGGAATAACAAGTTTAACTATAGTCCAACTGAGCTCAGTACTGAGGAATAACAAGTTAAACTATAGTCCAACTTGGCACAATACCGATGAATAACACGTGATGTTAAACTACAGTCCTACTGAGATCAGTAATGAGGAATAACACATGGTGTTAAACTATAGTCCTACTGAGATCAGTAATGAGGAATAACACATGATGTTAAACTATAGTCCCAATGAGATCAGTAATGAGGAATAACACATGATGTTAAACTATAGTCCCACTGAGATCAGTAATGAGGAATAACACATGATGTTAAACTATAGTCCCACTGAGATCAGTTATGAGGAATAACACATGATGTTAAACTATAGTCCCACTGAGATCAGTAATGAGGATTAACACATGATGTTAAACTATAGTCCTACTGAGATCAGTAATGAGGAATTAACACATGATGTTAAACTATAGTTCTACTGAGATCAGTAATGAGGAATAACACATGGTGTTAAACTATAGTCCTACTGAGATCAGTAATGAGGAATGAGGAATAACACACGATGTTAAACTATAGTCCCACTGAGATCAGTAATGAGGAATAAAACATGATGTTAAACTATAGTCCTACTGAGATCAGTAATGAGGAATAACACATGATATTAAACTATAGTCCTGCTGATATCAGTAATGAGGAATGAGGAATAACACATGATGTTAAACTATAGTCCCAATGAGATCAGTAATGAGGAATAACACATGATATTAAACTATAGTCCCACTGATATCAGTAATGAGGAATAACACATGATGTTAAACTATAGGCCCACTGAGTCCACTCAGTAACTGTAGACAAGGATGTACGGGCCGCTGTTTATGCTATGTTTATGGACACGTGTCATGTTTGATGACTGTGTGGGTGTGTGTACAACAAGGTACAAGCTATATCCTGCCCTGTCAACTGTCCTAACTGTCACACGTGGGATGTCATACGCAGAATGTCTCACACAAAATGTCTCACACGGGCAGTGCGATGTGTTGCTAACAGGCCCCTCTCACACATACAGACGCAGAGTCAAATAATTCACGATATTATAACAAAGTAATCATTAAGTGAATATTCGTCGATGAATGACTTAAAGATATGTGTTTGTTATTCCTTCAGTAGGTTATAGTATACAACCGTCATGTATAAACACTGATACCCAGGAGGTATTTCCCAGTTGAATACATGAACAATAACGCCTACATGCCCAGTCAAACCAAGACATTCAACAGTCATGCTTTATTCACAATAGTGAATGGGATTAGGAATAGGTTGCACAATAACCATGTCCGTTTCTTACATACGATTATCGACTCTCGACACCGGGACATGGGTCATGGGTATGTACTTTAGAGAGGCAGGGGGCATAGCTTGACACTGATTGCCAGCCGTGTAGTCAGGTGTTGTTGCTGGGTTGTTGCTGCAATATGGAAGTCTGACAACAAGCATGTATTCAGATACACGTCATGCTAATCACTGAGCCGTCAGGTGCCCCACAGATGTAAGACGGGATCTACATCACACACATTGTTCATTGTATTGTCCCACCTGTAGTGTCTTGTCCCACCTGTAGTGTCTTGTCCCACCTGTAGTGTCTTGTCCCATATTCAGTGTCTTGTCCCACCTGTAGTGTATTGTCCCACCTGTAGTGTCTTGTCCCATATTCAGTGTATTGTCCCACCTGTAGTGTATTGTCCCACCTGTAGTGTCTTGTCCCACCTGTAGTGTCTTGTCCCACCTGTAGTGTCTTGTCCCATATTCAGTGTCTTGTCCCACCTGTAGTGTATTGTCCCACCTGTAGTGTATTGTCCCATATTCAGTGTATTGTCCCACCTGTAGTGTATTGTCCCACCTGTAGTGTATTATCCCACCTGTAGTGTCTTGTCCCACCTGTAGTGTCTTGTCCCACCTGTAGTGTCTTGTCCCACCTGTAGTGTCTTGTCCCATATTCAGTGTATTGTCCCACCTGTAGTGTCTTGTCCCACCTGTAGTGTCTTGTCCCATATTCAGTGTATTGTCCCACCTGTAGTGTCTTGTCCCACCTGTAGTGTATTATCCCACCTGTAGTGTCTTGTCCCATATTCAGTGTATTGTCCCACCTGTAGTGTCTTGTCCCACATGTAGTGTATTGTCCCATATTCAGTGTATTGTCCCACCTGTAGTGTCTTGTCCCATATTCAGTGTATTGTCCCACCTGTAGTGTCTTGTCCCACCTGTAGTGTATTATCCCACCTGTAGTGTCTTGTCCCATATTCAGTGTATTGTCCCACCTGTAGTGTCTTGTCCCACCTGTAGTGTATTGTCGCACCTGTAGTGTATTGTCCCATATTCAGTGTATTGTCCCACCTGTAGTGTATTGTCCCACATGTAGTGTATTGTCCCACCTGTAGTGTATTGTCCCACCTGTAGTGTCTTGTCCCACATGTAGTGTATTGTCCCATATTCAGTGTCTTGTCCCACCTTTAGTGTATTGTCCCACCTGTAGTGTCTTGTCCCACCTGTAGTGTCTTGTCCCATATTCAGTGTCTTGTCCCACCTGTAGTGTCTTGTCCCACATGTAGTGTCTTGTCCCACATGTAGTGTATTGTCCCACCTGTAGTGTCTTGTCCCATATTCAGTGTATTGTCCCACCTGTAGTGTCTTGTCCCATATTCAGTGTATTGTCCCACCTGTAGTGTCTTGTCCCACCTGTAGTGTATTGTCCCACCTGTAGTGTATTGTCCTACCTGTAGTGTATTGTCCCATATTCAGTGTCTTGTCCCACCTGTAGTGCATCATGGGTGTTGACGAAGCAGTAGAATATGATTGGTTATCGTCGTTACACCATCGTGCCAGACCGCAATGACGTCCGTGACGAAGACAGCACGCTGATTATCGTGAACGTATTACTGGATTACTCATCTATTTTACCGCCTCGACCAACTCACCCATCCCCCTCCCAGCTAGTGTATTATTCACGGCAATTACATGTTGAGACTTTAACAAGGGTGATTGTATCAAGTTATTATTTTCATCGACACCAGGCGTGGCAATTTTTCAAATGCCTCACGTTTTGCTGATATACCCCTATGGCATCATGTGATGGCCACAACAAAGGATTTCACTATTTCGCAATTCCCTCTATCTGAGGCTGATGATCAATCAAACCTCGTATATTGTTGTTTATGATGTTAACAATGCCAGTGTCAACCTGAACGAGAAAATCAATGATTAAGCCTCTATTAATTACAGCATTTTAAAATAAATCAATTGCGATTAAGTAATAGGAAAAGGATATTGCTAAACCTACGGTAACCTGACTAGTGACGTACGGGCACTCCTACTGTCAGCTGACAACACCCCGATGCAAAGCTGTATTGTTGTATCTGTCTGGATGCAGGATTACAATGTTGTCTTGTTTTATCTGTCTGGATGCAGGATTACAATGTTGTCTTGTTTTATCTGTCTGGATGCAGGATTACAATGTTGTATTGTTGTATTTGTATGGCTTCAGGATTACAATGATGTATTGTTGTATCTGTCTGGATGCAGGATTACAATGTTGTATTGTTTTATCTGTCTGTCTTCAGGATTACAATGATGTATTGTTGTAATTGTCTGGATGCAGGATTACAATGATGTATTGTTGTATC